TCGTTTGTCGTTTTTTCTTTTTGCTTTTTTTTTTTTGTTGGTTTGTTGCTTTATTATATGTGTTTTCCTTAAATGTTTTAATTCCATTGAGAGCAATTATCCTTATATGGTTTCATAAAAGGCCAATAGGAATGATTTACAAATTACTTTTATGTTCAGATCGCTTGTTTTTGCTGGACTGCATGGTTAAATTCAATAAATACTTTGCACCGATTTCAACTAAATAGTCACGTCTAGCGGTAACAATGTAAAAACTTTTACAACACAACTGCAATAGAAATTGATGACATATTTCGTTTTTTTCTGTTTTTTCTGCTTTTTTTTTTTTTTTGTTTTCATTTTTCATCTTCTTTATCTTCTTGTCACCACCGAAGGTTGGGGTATATACATTGTTTGTCAAAACGTTTACAACACCCAGAAGAAAATATCAGAGATTCTTTATATGTATATATATTCTTGATCATTATCTAATTTTGAATCGATTCGACTATGTCCGTCTGTTCATCTAACTGCCTGTGCAATATCTATGGCCACATGAATGAAGCTATCCAAAGCGATGGGCTTCATGTTCGACAAAAACATTGTAATTCTTACACACAAGTTGGTATTGGAAGTGGGCAAAATCGGCCGAAAGATATATCTATAGAACGATGTAAACTAGGAAGGCCTGTGTTTTCAAAAACAAAAAAATCGTTTCTTTCCTCATAACTCATAAACTACTTTTGTAAACACTTGAACACTCTATTTAAAGATAACAGTGTCGGGTGTTCAAGATTCGGCCGTAATCGAATAAAACTTTTTTAAATGTTTTTTTTTTTTTAATTTGCGCCATCCGATAAAGGAGTATATTAATTTTTTCGCTCCGCTTGTAACATTAAGAAATTTACACTTCAGAAACATTCTAAATTATATATGAAGATATGTGTAAATATATACATTATATATATATATATATATATATATACATAAAAAATTTTGTCACTGTTAGACTCGAGTCATTAGATCGATTGTTTCTTTGGTCTTTCTTTGAATTCGCAATATATCAAATATGCCATATAACATATATTGTCCAAAAATCCACATTACATAGGAACCGATATATTCAAACTATTTTCAATAGCATTCGATTTTAGGCCTAAATATGTGAATATAATAAATTATATGAAAATGTCTCGTTTATTGCGATCATCTATATTTAATACAAGAATATATGCAGGGATATCGGATGGACAGACGGACAGATAAAATTAAATTGATTTAGGAAACGATTCCGAAACCGATAATATACTACAAGTTGCGTCTAATTCAAATCGGTCTGTGAATTATTTACATCGGCACGATTAAGTCGTGTAGCGTAGCGAAAATATGTCCACAGTGCTTGAGACCAAAGTTACTGAAATAATCGACGATTTCACAGTCTATTTATCAGTAACTAATGATCTGAAGTAGGGCTCAAGTTTCTGTCCAAGTATTGGACTAGAAGCAAATGCGTAAATTTTCCAGCAATCGACTTTTTTTCTCCATAACTAAATTTGATATAATATGTAAACGCATTTTTTGCTTCGCTGCTTATAACTGTACCGTCTTGGGTACGCGGTAAAAAAAGTTTAATAACTTTGAGTATATACTATTTTGTATTTCAGCGTCTAAAGAAAACGGTACACGCGGCAGACAACTGATTAATCAAATTATAGGACATATGTAGGTTCGATTCAAGTCAAAGTCACTTCTTAACTGCTGCTTGTTCGAATTCTATACATCGTAAACAGTGTGGTATACTATTCTAAAAAGCTGGAATACTATGACAAAATTAATTTTTTTGAGAATCTGTTGTGATTCCTCATCTATTTTACTCATAAGGTATTCAAAAGTCGACGTTATAGATATATCATTGTTTACTTCTCATACGAACACTTATAAGAGATGAGTTGTAGAAAAATAGCTGCCAAATTTCTGGACCAATTTTCACTGTAAAATATGATTTTAATACGATGATGGAACACGTTGCCGTACGAAGGCTCATCACTCGTAGAAACGATTATGTGGCAGTCGATTGTAGATTGGTGAATTGGTCTGTCCAATCCAAATTTTTCACGACGATAAGTAGCAGTTTATGCCAACAGCTGTTAACAATCGAAAACGACTTCTCAACGCAAGACGTTGCGTGGATTTACGTATAAAATATATATAATCCCATCTAGTGCTTCTGCAACGATTTCTTAAAAATCGGGAAAAGATTGAATAAAAAACTAGCACATGGATATAGAAACTATGCACACAAGCATATAGAAACCATCAAGAGTAACATTTGTAGACAGTTAACCTGAAGCTGTCATAATTATGTTAATCATTTTCTTAGAGTACATGTTAATCTTCCCTCCTGATTACATCATCACTTGATGACGCACTTGAATGGTCGCTGATGCAGACGAGTCCTTGCAATTAAATTCAGAGTTTCTTCTCAAAAATCTCTTTCAATTGAATCTTGGAAACTTCCCCTCCTCTCGTATTTTTGTGAATGATCGATTGCTCTACTGTCAAGATTACTTCAGGATGCATCCTGCTTATGAGTTTCTAAACGTTAAACGACATAAAATGTTATCATATCCTTAACTATCGGCGAGGATGCAAAAAATGTAAAATCTATAACATCGTTACGCAGAGCAGATAGTCAAAATCTTTATGTCTCGTAGTCCGTTGTTATTTAAAGAATAATGTACTCTGTAATGTCCTTTTTTCTATTCAAAGGCATACCTTGAGAGCGGAATTGTCACAATACGATGGCGAATGTCACACGATACAATTTCAGAGTTGAAATTACATCTTCTTCTTCTTCTTTGCTTTCGTTTAAACACTTAGGAGTAATTGCCATAAACTCATATAGCGATGGCATGGTCCAGAGGTTAGGGCGATCGGTACTTAGGCGGGAGACCCAAGTCCTTCGAGTCTTGGTGCGAAAGACCGTAAATGGACATACTCAGGATATGCAAAGGGTATGAAATAAACAAGTCTTCACAGAAATCGATTCAATTGTTTCAGTATCTTGCACTGCCTCTCAATCTCGTTGTCAAAATTGCGATTAAAACCTTAACGCAGAACCCCAGAAGAACAAATTTTTGATCACTTTTGCTGGGTTAGCACACAAAATCGCAATATACAAAGTAAAGACTCAAAATCGTATATTTGGTTAAAACGGTGTACTGGTCGCGTGTCTCTCAATACCAATCTGTACTCAGGAATTTCCAACATTTCTGGACAATTTGTAGTCGACATCTGCATTTTTCCGAGCAGGAGAATATTAACCACTTGCATTGTATAGACAGGCAGACAGAGGGACAGACACATATTTCTAGTTCTAGAATATATTTTATGGAGAATACCGTACAGTTTATAGATTTCCTGAAGCTTTCTACTAAATGTTGCAATCGTTTTGACAACATGACAGCGTCCTCATCCTTCGACGATGGGTATATATAAAAAAAAAATATCAATTTTCAATAATTCTCGACAAAGATCATTGGAAGACACTTCAATTGAATGTAAGAAATTTGAAAGAAATGGAATTATTTTTGCACCCCCTCCCACTTGGCCCCATAAGGCTTTTAAGGTTTTTAGTATTTTATGAAGAATATTAGTTCGGAGCTTTGACACGACATATAACTTTACCATGCTAAATTCGGACCATGTTGATCTATTTTTCGGATGTAAAGCTTCGCATGAGAAATAAACTATGCTAAGGCAAAAAGTTTAATTATCGAAATAGTGGCCTAATACGCTTATTGCTGCTTGACCACTGCCGACAGTAATGCTTACACATTTACACGGCCTTCATATATACGCTTATAATTTTTTATAAATACTAAATATCGATTTCAAGAGATTGCATTGCCCAACGAGGGCTATACTCACTTTACGAAACGTTTGCAAGACCCAGAAGGAAGTTTCAGAGACCTTGTAGGGCATATACATACATATATTATTGATCTGTATAAAATTCTAAATCAATTTAAGCACGTACGTCTGTCTGTCTGTCTGTCTGTCTGTCTGTCACTTTATCCGCCTGTCCGTCTGTGTAATCTCTGCATAATATTTATCAATTGGGCACCCACCAACGGCAATTTCAAATTCGGTATGTACTTTAACATGTTCGTCCATTTCTTGTTTGTCTGTCTATCCCAACTGTCCGCCCAACTATGTAGTATTCGCGATAAACTTTTTTCTGTTAGCGAAAATGAAGATATCCGCTAAAAATTTGGTAAAGAATTTGAAAATGAACCAAATCAATCGAAGGACACGCCTACAATACCCATACGTCTTTGGAGGAATAACTAAAAGCACATTTGCTTTCTTTCAAACTGCAACAGATGCACGATATAAATATCCATTTTCCACATTCTAAGAAAGCAAAAAAAGTCGGCCACGCCCATCAAAGATTATAGAATATGAAAGTTTAGTTTTTTCGTTGCTTTTTAAGTCTTTTTTAGGATGACGGTGATGGGTATAAAAGATTCGATCGCGGCCAAATATAATTTTCTGCGTTATTTTTCAACTTTTTAAGCAATGAGAAAAGGAACGCGTGCGAATTGCTGAAATATCCATTTTGGCTACCAAAAAATAAAAAAAAAATATATTATTGATAACTGTTTGATCTCAAATTAAGGAGCTGAGCTTGTAGCAATATTATGCACATCACTTTTAGCATTATCTTCCATAGGTGAAAACTAGTCATTAAGCATATCACGTATATTCGAGTTCCAAGCCATTAGCCTACATTTGATGGATGAAATATAAAAAAAAAACAAAAAAAATCTGGATTGTTAGGGCCAGCGCATGTAAAAATTGCATCTTCAAAGAGTTTCGTTTGGTTTTGTTTTTTTTTTTTTTTACTTATGAAACTATAAGGTTGAGTTAAAAATATTCCATGTTTCCGTAAGACGTTCATAATCGATTCTTTAATAATTGTAAATCATTTATAAATTAAATGAACAATAAATACTTACTTGTACGACATGGTGAAACCTCATTGAAATGCGTAAAATTTCTTGAGGTAAAACACGTACCAATAGGATCATGACGTAAGTTCTTAGTCGGTGTCATTGTATGGAAAACAAAGCGTGGAGCACAAGCCTGTGAAAAAACAAAAAAGAAAACATATATATGTATATATATATATATATGCATTTATGTATATATATTGTATATAGGAAAAAAAAAAAAAAAAAGCGAAGAGAAGAAATCAAAACTCGCGAATCAAACAATGAAATGAAGTTTATTTGAAAAAGAAAAAAGAAAAAAAAAAAAAAGGAAAAAAAGCAAAGAAATGAAATCGACGACGTACAATAATAAAAGTCCACAACAATAAAATGTTTTGAAAATATACTTGAAATTCAATAAATAAAAAAAAAAAATTAAAAACAAAAGAAAAATCTGCAATCACAACAACGACGATAAAGGTTGTGTGGCTTAAGAATAAAAATTGTAAAATACGAGTATCTTGTGAATATATCTGGACATGGGCAACAATGGCAATGGGGACCTGTCAGCCAAATATGGTCAGTTTGGTAACGCTTAGGTATGAACACAAATGCAAACAGAATGAAAGAAAACATTATTGTTGCTGCTGTTGTTGTTGTTGCTATTGTTGCCTTTTGTTTGTATATATTTGATTTTATTTATTTATTTTTTTTTTTTTTCCTCTTTTTTCTTTTTTTTTTTTTAGAAAAGTAAAATTCCTCAAATATATACTCTTTGCTGCAATTACTTTTACAAATTTATACAAAATCTATAGACGCGAACACACACACACACACA